TGCTTTCATAGATATAAACATATTCAGGTTATCTGTTTCTTGTTGAGTGAGCTTTGGCAATTCATATCTTTCCAGAAACTGGAAAATATTTAATCTGTCAAATTTATGGTCATATTCCCTTTTTATCTTTTCTAACAATTGTAGACTCTGTAGTGATGTCACCTATCTCATTTTTTAGATTGGTAATTTGTGTATTTTCTTTTTTTCTCTTTCAATCTGGTAGAAGTTTACCAATTTTATTGATTCCTCCACCAAATAAAACAAATAAAACAAAATAAAATTGATTCTGCCCCCCCACCAAATAAAACGAACTTCTGGTTTAATTAATTTTCTGTATTGTTATGATGTTTTCTGTTTCATTAATTTCCATTCTGATCTTGATTATTTCCTTTCCTCTGTTTAAATTTAATTTCTTCATCTTTTTCTCATTTCTTTTTTCTTTTCTTTCTTTTTTTTTTAAGATTTTATTTATTTATTTGACAGAGAGAGACACAGCGAGAGAGGGAACACAAGCAGGGGGAGTGGGAGAGGGAGAAGCAGGCTTCCCGCCAAGCAGGGAGCCTGATGTGGGGCTCGATCCCAGAAGCCTAGGATCATGATCTGAGCCGAAGGCAGACGCTTAATGACTGAGCCACCGAGGCGCCCCCTTTTTCTCATTTCTTAAGGTGAAAACTGGTCATTGATTTGAGACTTTTCTTTCTTCTAATATAGGTATTTCATGTTATAAATTCCCCCAGGTATTGCTTTAACAATTATCTCATGAATTCTTTCATGTTGCATTTTCATTTTTATTCAGCTCAAAAATGCATTCTAATTTACATGACACATGTTTTTGAGAAATATATTATTTAGTTTCCAGGTACTTGGGAATTCTCCTGATACTTTCCTATTATTGATTTTTAATTTAATTCTATTGCAGTTCGAGAACATACCTTGTTTGACTTGAATCCTTTAAATTTTTTGAGACTTGCTTATGCTTCAGAATATGATCTTTCTTGGTAATTGTTTTATACATACTATAAAAGAATGTTTAATCTGCCTTTGTTTAGTGAGAGTCCTATAAGTGTCAGTTAGGTCAAACAGGTTGATAGTGGTGGTCAAAACTTCTATATTCTTTATTAAAAATAAGTTTATTTATTTAAGTAGTCTCTGCACCCAATGTGGGACTCAAATTCACAACCCCGAGATCAAGAGACTCTACTGACTGAGCCAGTCAGGTGCCGCAAGTTTTCAGTATTCCTACTGATCTTCTGTCTACTCGTTCTATCAATGATCAGCACAAACATAATTGTAGATTTTTCTGTTTCTCTTTGCATTCTATCATTTTTTTGGTCCATGTATTTTCAAAGTCTGCTATCAGGTGCACACATTTTTAGGCTTGTTACATCCTACCAGTGAATCAATTCCTATATCATTACATGGTTACTCTATCCTAGTAATATTCTTTGTTCTGAAATATACTTTGTCTGATATTAACATAACTATTCCAGCCTTTTTTTTGGTGGGTGTTAGCATGGTATATCTTTTCTCATTATTTTACTTTTAATCTAGTTGAATTTTTATATCTAAAATGGGCTTTCTGTATGTAAAATTTGACAATTAGATAAAAATCTCTGCCTTTTATTTGGGGTGTTAGGCCATTTACATTTAATGTGCATTGAAATGTATTACATTTAATGTGTATTGATCTCATTTTGCTATTATTCATTTTCTATTTTTTGCACCTGTTCTTTGTTCATTTTTTCCATTTTTCTGCTTCTTATATGTTAATTATATTTTTAATGACTTCTTTTTATCTTTTGTTGGCTTATTAACTGTAACTGCTGTGTCATTTTAATAATTATAGTATACTTCTTTTAATTTATCACGCTCTACTTTCAAACCATGTTTCACCACTTCACATATAGTGTAAGAACCTTACAGTTGTATTCTTGTATTTCTCCCGTCAGCCCTGTGTGCAATTGGGTCATGCATTTATTTCTACCTATGTTATAAACCTCACAGCATGTTATTATTATTTCTGTTTAAAATGATAGAATATTTTTAAGCGATTTAAATAAGAAGAAAGAGTTTTATATTTATTTACGTAGTTACCTTTTCTGGTATTTTTCATTGCTTCAGGTGTACTCATATTTCTATTGGGTATCATATGAATACCAAAGGACTTCTTTGAACATTCTTGTGGATAACGAAGACTTTGTCAACTTTTGTATCTCTGCATAGTCTTTATTTCACCTTTGTTTCCGAAAGATGTTTTCACTGTGTATAGAATTGTAAATTAAAATGTTTTTCTTGGGGCGCCTGGCTGGCTCAGGTGGTAGAGAATGCAACTCTTGATCTTTGGGTTGTGAGTTTGGGTCCCACATTGGGTGTAGAGATTACTTAAAAATAAAAACTTGAAAGTGTTTTCCTTTTAATATTTTAAATACATTGCTCCACCATCTTCTCATTTCCATTATTTTCTATGAAGAAAACATTCTCTGTTATCCTTGTTTTATCTGTATGTAATGTGATTTCTTTCTCTGGTTACTTTTAAGATTTTCTCTTTATCACTAGTTTGGCCAATTTGAATATGAACTGCTATGATGCAGTTCGTTTCATGTTTACTGTTTTTGTATTTCATCAACTTTATGGATGTATCAATTATTATATTTAACAAATTTGGAGAATTTTTAGCCATTGTCTCTCCAAATATTTCTTCTGTATCTCTCCTTCAGGAACTCCAATTACATGTATATCTGGCCACTTAAATTTGTCCTTCAACTCACTGATGCTCTGTTCATTTTTTTCAAATTTTTATTTTTCTTGGTTCCCTTTTAGATAATTTTTATTGCTATGTCCTCAAATTTACTAACCTTTTCTTTTAAGCTAACTAATCTGCCATTGATCTTTTCAACATACTTTTTATTTCAGGCATTGAAGTTTCATCTCTAGAATTTTGATTTGGATATTTTTCATATCTTACATGTCTCTACTTAACTTTTTGAATTATCGAATACAATTATAACAATTGTCTTAATATTCTTTTCTGCTAATTTTAATGTTTGTGTCAGTTCTGGGTGGCTTTTGATTAATTGATTTTCCTCCTCACTATTGATCATATTTTTCTGCTTCTTTGCATGCCTGGTAATCTCTGACCAGATGCCAGACATTGTAAATTTTTCCTTGTGTGCTGGGTGTGTTTGTATTACTGTAAGTATTTTCGAACATTGTTTTGGGATGCCATTAGGTTACTTGTAAACAGTTTGGTCCTTTTGAGTCTTGCTTTTAAGATCTGTTAGGCAGGCCATAGTCATGCTTAATTAAAAGGTAATTATTTTCTTCTACTGGGCAAGACCCTTCAGAATAGTGCACCCAGAGAATTGTGGGGTCTTTCAGAACTGCTGGTGGGAGCAAATACTATTCTCAGCCTTGTGTAGGTACTGAAAAATATATTACAGTGAGAGTAGTGCTGTTCCCTCTCATCCTTTTGGATAGTTCTTTCCCCAAATTCATGTAGTTTCCTTACATGCATATGTTGATCAATATTGTCCTGAATAGTCAAGGGGATCCTCTGCAGATTTCTGGGTCTTTTCTCTATGCAATTTTCTTCTCTGTGAACTACTGTAATCTTGGTTTCCCCAGACTTTCAGGTCTGTCTGCTCAACTCAGGAGTCCATAGGACTCTGCCTGGGTGCCCTTTCCCTGGGCCATGGCCTTAATACCCTCTCATGGTAGTAATCTGGGGTAATTGTAGAACTCATTTCATTGTTGTTGTTGTTTTCTGTCTCTGGAGGATTGCTGTCCTTTATTGCCCAATGTCCAGTACCTTGAAAATCACTGTTTCAGACATTTTATATTTTAATTTTGGGTAGTGGAGGCAGAAGAGTGGTTTTAGTTGAGAGGGTAGATCTGGTTCTATTCCTCCATCTTGTCTGGAAGCAGAAGTCTCAAGTCTATTCTATGATAAAATGAGTCCAACAAATAGAGATTCACAAGAATGCAAGTTTTTTTTTTATAGCCATTGTAATAGTCCTTTACCAATTACAAGTTTATTCAGATTTTATACTTCTCATAAAGTCAAAACTTGAGTTTAGTTTTGTGCTATCTATTGAAAAAGGATTAACTAGAATATGGTAATTCACATAAGAATTTATAATATCAGTTATATCAGTCTTGGTTCATTTACTTTTTTCATTTACTTATTTAACAAATATTGAAAACTTACTGGGTAACTATTGTGTGCCAGGTGCTGTGTAGGTCAAAGGAGATAACAAAATAGGCATGCTCATGAAAGTCACTGCCTTTGAGGAAGACAGTCCTGAGAGAAAAATATGTATGATACGGTGAGATTGGTGCTGTGGTGGGTAGGTGAAGAGTGGTTTTGAAGCACGTAGAAGGGGGTACAACACTCAGACTGGATGTGTGTGTGTGTGTGTGTGTGTGTGTGTGTGTGTGTGTGTGTGTGTGTGTTGGGGGTGGGTGGAAAGGAGCTGGTCCTAAAGGCTACCTGGAGCAAGTGATGCTTGAACTGAGACCAGAACTAATAGTTTGTAATCAAGAGAATGATATGCCCAAACCAGAGTTAGGGACATGTGTGAAAATCAGGTGATGAGGAAGAATACATAGGTGTTCTGAAGACTGAAAGCATATCAATTTGGCTGAAACACAGGGGTCCAGGGAGCTGGGGAGATGGTGGGGAAATATGAGGCATTTCATATCATTTACAGAGGAAGAACCCTCATGGTGCTTCCTCAGAGAGCAAAAACAGGCTGTGAGAGCTATTGGGCTCATCTGTTTTACAACCTCAATGTGTCAAATCAGGGAATTTTTTTTAAGACTTTATTTATTTGAGAGAGGGAGAGCAAGAGGGAGAAGTAGACTCCTTGCTGAGCAGAGAGCCTGATGTGGTTCTCAATCCCAGGACCCCGAGAACATGACCCGAGCTGAAGGCAGACATGTAACTGACTGAGCCACCCAGGTGCCCCAAATCAGGGAATTTTTAAAAAAATAAAACAGAAAGCATTCAGATTGTGTCCTCTCCCTCTTACTGCCCCAAAGGAAGAGAGGAACCATCATCAATGGCAGAAGGCAGTTGCCGAAACAACACCTAGAGCCAGCTTCATGCTCAGAAGACAACACTGCACCTTCTCATGGTTTCAGGTACTTGACATGATTAGAGAAACTTCTCTAGTAGCAAACTATAGAAATGATCCCTTAAGGTATAGTCTTAAATCAGGGAATATTTTAACTGAGTCATTGCTAGTTTCTTTCTTGTCTAGCAGTATCCATTTGTCTTCTTAGCAAACCATTGAACATTCTTCAATGTCCATCCCAACACTAGAAGAAAACATACAGGTGAATAATTCTGTGATCTTGCTAATGGAGAATGTCTGTCTAAGTGGAATAGCGAAAGTAAAAATGTTAAATGACAAGAGTGGCAGCTGATGTCACAAATATTTAAAACTTCTGTATGTGCCTAAACCAGAATTAAAAGGTAAAAAAGCTGAAACAAATTTTTGGAAGAAATCTTGGTGTTTTCTTTTTCTTTTTTTAAGATTTTATTGATTTATTTGAAAGTGAGAGAGCACACGCACGCAAGCTGGGAAAGAGACAGAGGAAGACAGAATCCCAAGCAGACTCTGTGCCGAGCACAGAGTCCGAAGTGGGGCTCGATCCCATCACCCTGAGATCATGACCAGGAGATCACAACGCAAGCGGAAACCAAGAGTCAGACACTTAACCGACTGAGCCACCCAGCCGCCCCAATCTTGGTGTTTTCTATTACAATTTAAAATGTATGACTCAGGGCGCCTGGGTGGCTCAGGTGGTTAAGCGACTGCCATCGGCTCAGGTCATGATCCTAGAGTCCCGGGATCAAGTCCCGCATCGGGCTCCCTGCTCAGTGGGGAGTCTGCTTCTCCCTCTGACTCTCTCCCTTCTCATGCTCTCTCTCTATCTCATTCTCTCTCTCAAATAAATAAATAAAATCTTAAAAAAAATAAAAAATAAAATGTATGACTCAGCAGTTGAACTTCTATTAAATTATTCTACAGAAATACACAAACTAGTGCACCCAGATACATGTATGAGGATATTAGCAATAGGATTGTTTGTGGTAGTGGTAATCGTGGTGGTAAAGAATTCTTAATTCTAAAATTCTAAAAATTCTTCTGGAAAGGATGAGATGAATAACATATGTTCCATTTAGATAATAGGATACCACACTGTTTATTTTTAAAAAGGTAAATTTATATGCACAGACATAGAAAGATGTCAAAGATATAGACAGATAGGTATAAATACATAAACATACACACAAATGGACCACATCCAAGATATACACATATACATACTCATATTTAGTAAGATATATAGAAGGCAAAACCAAAACAAAACAATCTGCTTGAATAAATGTCAACCATTCTATTAGTTTCCTTTTTCTACTATAACAAAGTACCACAAACTTAGTGGCTTATAATGACACAGATTTACTCTCTTCTAGTTCTGGATGTCAGAAGTCTGAGATCAGTCTCCCTGGAGCTAAAGTCAAGGTGTTGGCAGGGCTGGTTCCTTCTGGAGATTCTAGGGGAGAACCCATTTCCTTACCTAACATTTACATTTTCTCCCAAATTCTTCCCCAAATCTAGGGTTTAAATTCAATCCAATTCCAATCAAAACTGAAGCAGGAATTTTTGGCAGAATTTGACAAGATTATTCTAAAATTTATATGGACATGCAAACAACCTTGAACACCCAAAACAACCTTGAAAAGCAAGAATAAAATCAGAAGGCTAACACTTCATAATTTCAAGACTTATAAGGGTATGGAATCAACACATCAACAGATAAAGAGATCAGTGAAACAGAAATAGAGTCAGGATTAGATCCATGCATATATGGACAACTAATTTTTGTCAAAAATGCAGAGGCAAATCAGTGGAGAAAGGACAGTCTTTTCAATAAGTGTTGCTGGAACAACTGGATAGTCATATGCAAAATATGAACTTCCAGCATACTTCTGTCATATGTAAAATTGACTCAAGATGGGACACAGATGTAAAAGCAAAACCTAAAATCTTAAAACTTCTTGGATAAATGAAGAAAATATTTGTCCATTGGGTTAGGCAAAGATTTCTTAGATAGAACACTGAAGACATGATTCATAAAAGAAATAATTGAAAAATTGGGCTTTACCAAAATGAAAAACTTCCGGTTTTTGGAAGACACTGTTAAGAGAGTGAGAAGACAAGCCATTGACTGAGAGAAAATATTTTTAAAGTATATATGAAGATAGAGAAATTGTACCCAGACTATATAAAGAACCCTCGAAGCTCAATAATAAGAAAGCCACCCAATTTTTTTATTTTTTATTTTTTAATTTTATTTATTATTTTGTTTAAGACTTTATTTATTTGACAGAGAGGGACACAGCAAGAGAGGGAACACAAGCAGGGGGAGTGGGAGAGGGAGAAGCAGGCTTCCCGTCGAGCAGGGAGCCCAATGCGGGACTTGATCCCAGGAGCCTGGGATCATGACCTGAGCCAAAGGCAGACACTTAACAACTGAGGCACCCAGGTGCCCAGCTACCCAATTTTTTAAACGAACAATTTGAAGAGACTCATCACCAAAGAAGACATCAGGACAAATAAACCCACAAAAAGAAGCTCAATTTTATTTGCTCATGAGGAAAACACAAATTAAAACCACAATTAGGTAACACTATGTACTTATTAAGAGGGTTAAAATAAAAAAATACAGACCATACTAAGCATTGGAGAAGATATAGAGCATCTGGAATTCTCATACACTACTACTAGAAATGTAAAATAGTAAAACTATTTTGGAAATAGTTTGAGTTTCCTAAAAAATTAATCCTGTGCATACTATATGATTCAGCCATTTCACTCCCAAGTATTTACCCAAGGGAAACAAAAGTGTATGATCACACAGAGACTTGTATATGAATGTTCTTAGCAGCTTTATCTGTAATTAATACCCTCAAACTGGGAGCAACCCAAATGTCCATTAACAGGTAAATGGATAAACAATCAGTGGTATGTTTATACAATGGAATAACCCTCAGCAATAAAAAGAAATGTGTTATGGATTCACCTAACAACATGAGTGAATTTCAAAGAAATTATGCTGAATGAAAGAAGCCAGACGAAAGAAACAGTGCATACTATATGATTGCATTTTCTAGAATTGTACATCAACTCTAGAAAATGTAAACTAATCAATAGTGAAAAAGGGGATCAGATGTTGCTTAGGGATGGGAATGGAAAGGGGCAGGAGGGAAAGAATTCAAAGGGGCATCAGTAAACTTCAGGAGGGGATATGTTCACTACCTTGATCATAGTGATAGGCTTTATGGGTGTATGCATATGACAGAACTTAACCCGCTGTGCATTTAAAATATGTGCAGTTTACTGTATGTCAATTATATTTTCAGAGAGAGAGTTGTTTTTAAAAATAGCTCTAGGAGGTAGTTGTTGTGCCTAAAAAATTTAACTGAATTCTGAGGATTAAGTAACTCTTTCAAGGTTACCTACCTAAGGGGAAGAGCTGGAATTTGAACCCAAATCTGACTGAGAGAAAATATTTGTAAAGTATATATGAAGATAGAGAATTTGTATCCAGACTATATAAAGAACACTCAAAGCTCAATAATAAGAACTTTACCCAATTTTTTACATGAACAATTTCTTTCCACTCTATTTTGATAAGACACCATTAATAACCTAAAGAAAGAGGGGGGGAAGTTTTGAAATCAAGCACCTCTGCTATTAACTGTGTTGATTTATTTAAGGATAACATCATAATAGCAGTGCCAAGATTCCCTCAACACCAACTTATCTGATGCTTGACTGGCAATGTCCTTGACTTGGAGATGGTACCATTTCCAGACACATTTTTTAAAATATTTTTTTTATTAACATATAATGTATTAGCTGTTTCATGGTTATAGGTCTGTGATTCATCAGTCTTACACAATTCACAGCACTCACCATAGCACTTACCCTCCCCAGTGGCCATCACCCAGCCACCCGATCCCTCCCACCCCCCACCACTCCAGCAACCCTCAGTTTATTTCCTGAGATTAAGAGTCTCTTATGGTTTGTCTCCCTCTCTGGTTTCGTCTTGTTTCATTTTTCCCTCCCTTTCCCTATGATCCTCTGTCTTGTTTCTCAAATTCCTCATACCAATGAGATCATATGATACTTGTCTTTCTCTGATTGATTTATTTCGCTTAGCATAATACCCTCTAGTTCCATCCACGTGCCCGTTGCAAATGGAAAGATTTCATTTTTGATGGCTGCATAATATTCCTATATATATATATATGTATATATATATATATATTCCTATATATATAGATAGATAGATAGACATCTAGGCTCTTTCCATTGTTTGGCTATTGTGGACATTGCTGCTATAAACATTGTGGTGCAGGTGCCCCTTCAGATCACTACATTTGTATCTTTGTGGTAAATACCCAGTAGTGCAATTGCTGGGTCATAGGGTAGCCTATTTTCAACTTTTTGAGGACCCTCCCTACTGTTCTCCAGAGTAGCTGCACCAGCTTGCATTCCCACCAACAGTGTAGGAGGGTTCCCCTTTCTCTGCATCCCCGCCAACACCTGTTGTTTCCTGACTTGTTAATTTTAGCCATTCTGACGGGTGTGAGGTGGTATCTCATTGAGGTTTTGATATGTATTTCCCTGGTGCCAAGTGATGTTGAGCACTTTTCCATGTGTCTATTGGCCATTTGGATGTCTTCTTGCAGAAATGTCTATTCATGTCTTCTGCCCATTTCCTGATTGGATTATTTGTTCTTTGGGTGTCCAGACACATTTTTAAAAAGTGGTTGTTGAAGAAATAAAATGAGATAAAATAAAAAATTTTAAAATTTTGATGTGTGCTCCTGCTGGCCCTTTATGTGAAAGTCTTCCTCCAGGGATACCCTGTAGGAACAACTCCCACAAGATCTAGGGTGTGGATCAAGGTTGTAGCATTATTTGACAAGAGTTGCTACATCTTACTTATGGCTTCTTTTATTTATCTTTAAAACATTTGAGCGAGCCTCTGACAGTGAGGGAGGGGAAATTCTTCACTGTCTTTATGAAAATAAATTTAAGAAGCAAGGAACTATTTTAGTTTCCCCAGTTTTAGTTATGTTCCTGAATGATGTTTTGGAATATTATGCCTTATCATCCCAGTCATGTATC